TCCACGGTTAGAATGACCTGTCATGGCCTAAATAGAGTTCAGTTTGTGACAGAGTTCCTGTCCTCTCGTCAGGCCTGTCCGAGGTCTGCTTCGAGGCAGTAAATCTAGTTTCTTCACTCGACGTGACCCCTACACACGGTTTTATAAATCTGAAGTTTTTTTGGAGTACGCCATTTTCGTCTTTTGGCCGTACATTCACTTTTAGTATGGTTTCCACACAATCCTTTATAAATCTGACCCCAAATTATTTATGGGGAGAACAATGGGCCCACTTAGGAGGCCTCCACTCATATATCCATGCCCAGTAACCATAACCATCAGAACCTTTTTATCAACCAGCAGAACCACCTGAACCTGAAGCACATTGATGCCACTTTTCTTTAAAAAGAATCATTTTGGTCTGTGATGAAACATGACATCATTAAAACTAAATTATAAACAACAGTTATTATAACAAAGTATAATTGAATATAAACTTCTGCAGTTCACTGCTTTATAAAACAAACTGAAGAAATAAAATATGACTATAAACTAGACTGGACTGGTACTGAGGATAAACCAGGGTTCTGGTCTAACTGGACCGGTACCCAGGATGAAGCAGTGTTCTGGACTGATTGGACCAGGGTTCTGGTGTGACTGGACCAGGGTTCTGGTCTAACTGGACCAGGGATCTGGTGTGACTGGACCGGTACCCAGGATGAAGCAGGTTTCTGGTCTAACTGGACCAGAGTTCTGGTCTAACGGGACCTGTACCCAGGATGAAGCAGTGTTCTGGTGTAACTGGACCAGGGTTCTGGTGTAACTGGACTAGGGTTCTGGTGTGACTGGACCGGTACCCAGGATGAAGCAGGTGGTGTAGTCCGGCTCTGATGGCTCCAGCAGACACTTCCTGCTGATCACAGTGATGTTTCCTCTCTGCAGGATGTTGAAGGAGGACACCAGGTCTCTGAAGATGTCCGATGCGTACCCGGACCCGTTCACCTGGACCACCAGCCTGACCGGAGCTGTGGGCGGGGACAGACAGTCACCATGGTTACCCCTCAGACCCATGGAACACACACCTGTAGCAGGTGATGTCTGACCTCGAGCGATCACGTCTCCCTTCACCTGGTGGTACACCTGATCCAGGATCCAGAACACCAGGAAGTCCAGGCACACCAGCAGGCTGCCTATGACCAGGTGTTTGAACACAGAGGCCACGCCCATCAGCACAGCTTTGCGCTCTTTGAAGGACATCTGGAAGGACACTGGAGGACAAACAGATGGTTTAAAACAACCGGACTTCATTTTTAAATCAGGTTCAGACTTCAGACTCAGGTGAACTGACTAGGACTGATGTAGGTCTTAGCCTCTCTGCGTGTGAGTGGCAGGACTGAAGCTCCACCCACTGACACCACCAGCTCGTCCAGCTCTTTGAACTGAGCGTTGATGTAGATGTTATCAAAGCTGAGCTGACGGAGGTACCTGCGCCTGTACTGCACCGCCCTGCACACAGAACCAGCAGAGTACAGGTGAGACCTGAACACAGACCAGACCCACACCTGCAGCAGTCTGACCTGAAGAAGGCCCAGCCCAGCAGGACCAGGCTGAAGTACATCAGAGGTTCACCCAGTCTCTGAAACAGCTGCAGGTCAGAGGAGATCTCAGCCATGATGTCCTGAGACACCTGCTGCAGGGAGCGGCTGCTGTTAGCGTCCAGGTGGAACTGCACCGAGGCCGTCATGTTGAACTCAAACTCCTGCATCATCCTCTTAAAGGCAGCCACCGTCGCTGGAACAGAGTCCACCCGTCAACCAGCAGCAGCAGGAACACCATCACTGTTACAAACAAAACTCACGTTCTGCCAGGCGCTGCTTCAGCTGGGTGGAGATGTAGGAGGGGATGATGCAGAAGAGCTCCCCAGCTGAAAGAGAGTCGCTTTAAACGTTTGTTTACATGTTCAACTGTTGATTCAACAGGAGTTTATCTGAAAATCAGCACTTCCTGGTTTTATTTATATTTCTACCACAATGAGATTTTATTTATTTTTTATTAGGAGAATAAAGTCATAATATTATGAGAATAAAGTCATAATATTATGATAATAGAGTTGTATGGAAATAAAGTCATAATATTATGAGAATAAAGTCATAATATTATGAGAATAAAGTTGTATGGAAATAAAGTCATAATATTATGAGAATAAAGTCATAATATTATGAGAATAAAGTTGTATGGAAATAAAGTCATAATATTATGAGAATAAAGTCATAATATTATGACTTTATTCTCATAGTATTATGAGAATCAAGTCATAATGTTAGATTAAAGTTGTATGGAAATAAAGTCATAATATTATGAGAATAAGGTCATAATATTATGAGAATCAAGTCATAATGTTAGATTAAAGTTGTATGGAAATAAAGTCATAATATTATGAGAATAAGGTCATAATATTATGAGAATCAAGTCATAATGTTAGATTAAAGTTGTATGGAAATAAAGTCATAATATTATGAGAATAAGGTCATAATATTATGAGAATCAAGTCATAATGTTAGATTAAAGTTGTATGGAAATAAAGTCATAATATTATGAGAATAAA